AAATTCATAGAAGACCAAACATGAAGAAAGTGTACTTTAAATGTACTTAAGGGTCAGGGAAAGCCCCGCTACAGGAAAATGCAGGAACCATCATGATAGGTACCAGCTTCCTTAAGGTTTACTTGAGTCACGATCTTACCATGCCCTGTTGTCAAATCATTGCCACACCAGTATCACGATGACCAGCTTCAGCCCGCATCACTTTCTGGAGCTCTGACTTCCTGGCAGGCGGTGGCATTAGACTGATCCTCAGTAACTATAATAGTTATATCTGCCTTTCCCTCAAACATTTGAAAGAGATGAAATCTCCTCTGATTAACACCTAGTTAATCCCTCATATGCAGCATGGAGCATCACAGAGGTACATACAGCATCATTTATTCTTTGAGCACACATGGAAGGCTGAGGACGTACAGGCCGGCATGCTGGGACGGGACTACAACGACAAGTGTGACATCCTCCGTTTCCTGCCCTTGCAGAGTCTGCTTCTCAGGAAAAGAAGAGCTGAAGACACAGAAAAGAGGGTGACACTTTAGGAAGGATCCAGGCCCGTTAGCAGGGTGATTCACCGCTCCTGGACACACGACACGGGGAGGAGGTCCTGCTTGCCTTGGAAGAGCAGAGGGGCGAGGGGAAGGAGCGTGGGACGGGCAAACCCAGCTTTCTGAGCCCTGGTTTCCTCCTCTGCGGGATGCAGATTATAGTGCTTATCTCTGAAGAGCCATTGTGAGGATTAACAGAGGCAACAACATATGCCCAGGGCTTAGCAAAATGCTTGGCACACAGTTTGAATTGCATGCCCCCTGGAGCCTTTTATCAGGCTGGTCCGAGGCTGCATATTCTTGAGCTTGTGGAAATACCGAATTCCACTCCCCCACTGAACCACCCGGTTGCCACTAACACCAGCAATCCCTCGCTTTACCCCAGACGCATGGACCCCCAATCTGATGCGCTCCTGCAGAATGCTCCCAAAGTCCCACCCCCTGGTCGCGTAGTCTTCTCTTGACTCTCAGATTATTTGTTTTGACACTTCAGTGTCCAGGAATAGAAGACTGTCTCACACAATCTGTCTTTGTGGAATATGATCTGGCAGGTTATTAAACGGGTTGATTTCGTACTCTGTTAGACATTTCCTGTGTACCATGCCTGGAATACAGAGTTGAAATACATTTGTACAAATTAATCGCACTAATTGTTACATATGTGAGGTTAGGGCCACGTGAATGTATTATGCAAACTTATGCAAAGTAGATGGAAATGGCATAATCACATACTCTTAAACGCAATTACAGTACTGGATCTCACCCAAGAAATGTGTTTTGAAGACTGAATTAGACTTCTCTGAAAGCTTGACTTTTATCAACTGAGACACAGCCTAAACCTTTTAAATCATCTGTTCAATTGATTTCTATTATAGTTTTAGTACCGGAATTGGCAATGGTCTCAATTTTCTTTCTCGTAAACTTGCTGGTCAAAGTGGGAGACACAAACATCTAACACAGCTTGAGGGAGAGACAAGGTATTAAGGTAAAGATTTAAAAGTTAATATGCTGTATCGTCTGGCTATCATATACAAATAACTGATAAAATCTACAAGGAGGTCATGCTTTAAACAAAAGATAAAGAGTAAATTCAGTCCTATGAAACAGACAGACTGGGGAATGAATGATGATACTGAAGATGAATGCTTTGCTTTACGATTCACCTTACGGGACCTTAAATATCACCTCTCAGTGTATTTAAAATATGACTGCCATTTGGAAAGTAAATAATTTATACAGAGGTTTTTCAGAAAATTACCTAAAATCATCAACCATGCAGTGTGACCCATACAAGATGTTTTATTGGAGATTCAGTTGAAATTATTGATCAAGGATGGCTCTGAAATAAAATGTCAGGGAAAGTGCAAACGTGACATTGCCTAGGTTATAAGAATAAGAAGATATTGTTATTTTTAATCTCTAAAATACGTGTGCAACAAACAAATACCACTCAGGGATTGAACAAGCTGAGATATTTGAGAACATCTGAGAGAAGGTGTTAGGATTCAGTTGGCAGAAGAAGAGATGGAGGGAATCTGGGTGAGACTTGAAGCAGTAAGGGCTGGATGCAGAGGCATGGTACCAGCTGGGCTCCTTGCTGCAGGGCTCGCAAGCAGGATGACATGTATTAAAAATTTCTTGTTCTAGGAACTGTGCTGGGCATCTTAATTGGATGATCTCTTTCAGCTCTCACCCTTGAGTTGTCATAGTACAATTGTTTTTTGTTTTGTTTTATTTTGTTTTGTTTTTGTTTTTTTTACAGCTGAGGGTACTCAAGCTAAGGGAAGCTGTCCAAAGACTGACTTTTGTCTAGAGACCTACACCCAAGTTTGTTTGGCTCTACAACCCAGGGCTTTCAACCATTATATAGATCAGTTAAAAAAAAATTCTGTTAGACCCAAGGAGGACTCTCCCTGTAGTGAGAGTTTTAAAATTCTAATACGTTGCTAAAATATTCAAGGTATTTGAATTCAAAAAAATTCAAGGCAATGTTTGCTTCAGGGAAAGCATATTTAAAAAGGGGTTGGCTCTTAGTTGCCTTGAATGATCCAGATGGGGCTCAGAGCAAACATGGGAGAATGTTGTGACTTTCATATTTGGCGAGTCTGTGGCAGTATGGCGGCTGCATTTCTATGGCACTACTGAAAGTGACCCGAGGATTTAAGTTTTCAGATGCGCCATTGCCACTGTTTACTATGATTAACAATAACCATGTTTTATGAAATAAAATACAGATTCTGTGGTTGGCCAATGTTTTATTTATTTTATTTTACTTTTCTGATTTGTGATTTTTTTTAACAAGAAGTCTCACCAAGCTATAAGAATGAAATCATGTTTAGTTGTATGTTTAAGAAATCTCATCATTGAAAATAAACGTACTCCAGACACCCAGGCTGTTTGGGAAGTTCTTCCGTCCATAAATGTTGGAGCTGCTCTTGGAGCATCTTGCACTCTGGGAAGTGAGCCCCCTCCTCTGAAGTCCTCTCTAGCCAGAGCCTCCAGGCAGCGTCTCTCATGGCAGATCTCATTGAACTGTCTTGTGACCATCTGCCTCATTGCCCTGCCTCTCTGTCTTTATTATCAGCCTCATGATTGAGTGGTTTAATTTAGTTATCACGAAATGTCTTTCCATTACACCAGTGGTTTTTGGTAATTTGTATCACATACTGTCATCTCTCTTGGAAATTTTAATTTGGTAAAACCTTCTCTAATGCAGTGTGTATGAAACAAACTATATAAAAGAAAATTGTACTGTATTGATTTCTCTGGATCTAATTGTTCTCTTGGGTTGTGGCGAATTTGACTGTCTGTTTTTCTCATATATACTTGTGAAAATCCGTAGAATTGTTAATAACATTTTACGTCTACACAATGCATTTTTTTTCAGTCTGACTGAAGACAGTAATAGCTTGAAATGATAATTCTGTTGTGTCACAGCTACTCTGTAGCTGGAACAGGAAAATATTTTTGACTGAAAGCAGTTTTTAGCTTCTCAAAGAGAATGTTAGGAGGAAACAGGCCAAGCTTATTTTATCCACTAAAAGAGCATATTTTGTTTATATTAAGATTATATAAGAATTTCTCATAACAGACTTACAGTCATAGAAAACAAACATAACTAACAAAGGGGAAGAGAGAGGGGGGATAAAGTAGGAGTATGGGATTAACAGATACACGCTACTACATGTAAAATAGATAAGCAATAAGGATTTACTGTATAATACTAGGATCAATATTCGATCTCTTGTAATAATCCATAATGGAAAATAATTTGAAAAATGTATACATAAATGAATTGCTTTGCTCTACACCTGAAACTCACACAATATTGTAAGCCAACTATACTTCAATTTAAAAAATTCTGATAAGGGCAGTCAATCTATTTAAAAAATAGCGTAGTCTGTGCCACCATAATAATTGATTCAGTTAGTTTAGGGGAAACTCAGTAATCCCCAGCTTTGAAATCTTACTGGGTGTGGGCTGTTTTGGGGTAGGGAAGAAGTATTTTTTGAAAATTAATAGTACATTTTTCTTTTCATTTTGACGTTACGTATTTTGTCACTGATGGTGCTTTATGTCTTAAAGACAGTAGTTTCCTAGTTTTCTTTAGGTTACAATAATTCTAAAATACCTTTTTTCATCTTTCAATTTCAAATTGTATTTCAAATTTTTGGTGGTTCTTTTGTAAATAGCATGTAGCTGTGTTGATACGATTTTTTATGCAGTCTAACAGTATTTCTCTTGAGTCCCTTTACAGTTAATGTGAGTACTAGTATATATGGAATTTGATGTACCATTTTACCATGTGCTTTGTATTACTATTTTATTATGGACTTACATTTTCTGTCCCTGGCCTCCGGGCTTCTTTTCTTGCATTTCTTTAGATTAATTGAAATTTGTCTTTAGAACAATTTAAATCTTTTTCAATTCTATTTTTCCTCTTTACTAGTTTTGAAGCTGTGTAATCTATATATGTTCTTTTAGTGGTTACTGTAGCTGTTTTAATATGGATGCTTAATAAAATTAAAATATCATACTTTTCTTGTGATAAATAAGATATTTTCAGGCTGATCACTTCCTATCAATATACTTGCTTTTTTTTTTTTGAGAGGAAAGTGTATGACAGTCTTTACTTTTAAATGAGTATCAGTACACCAAGTAATAACACGTGACAAGTTCTTGAATTCTATCATCTAGTAATTTTGATTAAGAGACACTGAAAGCAGCCCAAACAATTATACTAGTACTCATTATTCTAACCATTAGCCAGAAAGGACTGTTTTAAGGCTGGCTACTGATTCATGTAGATTACAAGTAATTATTTACTACTTTTTCATAGATAAAGCCCCTGACCTTCAAGAAAGCTTTAGGGAAAAAAAAATTTTAATCCCTTTCTTTCTTAAGAAAAAAAAAGTTTAACTATATCTAAGAAAGAAAAATTCAGTATTGATATATATGCTGCTTGAGCGAAAAGGCATAAGAAAACAACGTATATGCATTAAATTGCTAAGAAATATGAGGTAAAAAGATAAAAATCTTTGGATAAGCTCTAAGTTTGTATGAAGAAGCTAGATCTGCTATTCTGCATAAAGTGAAGGAACCTACTACGTAATATACAGAAATATAATTTAATGCCTTTTCACAAGAATGTAACTCAAGCCCTGCAAAAGCTTCCCATTCCATGAAGGCATCTAAAATGCCAGCCATGGAACGGCACGTCTTCCTTCCTCCCCTATCCGTTTATGCGGTAGTTTTCGTGGATTTCGAGCCGGATGTCGCAGACAAAGGCCAAGAGTTTATCCAAGACTTCATCCTTGTTCTGCCGGAAGTAGGTCTGGAGGACGGTCATCTTCTCCTGGGTGTTCTTCTCCACCTCAGTGCTGCAGCTGCCGTGGGATCCCAGAGCCGCAGCCTCCTTGGCCTTGAACTCCTTCTCCCTCTGCAGGCGGTACTGTTCGATTTCAGCCTGGGCTGCTTCTTTGGCCTGCTTCAGCCTCCGGTTCTTTCGCTTGCGGGCCTCCGACACCTTCTCTGCCGCCCGCTTCTCGGCCTGGAGCAGCTGCTGGATGCCCTGCGACTGACTAGCTATGGCGGCAGCTACTCCGAGAATATGCTTGCTTTTATAGCTCAGTATTTTATCTCTGCCCTTATTTTGTAAGTCCTTCAAATAAGACATTATTATTTTATCTAAAATAGTTGATGCTTATTTATATTTCTCACTTATTTATCAAACATTTTACTTACTGTTCCTTCTTACATTATTTTTCCATCTATCTGAAATATAGTTGACCCTTGAGCAACATGGAGGTTGGGGCACTGGCTCTGTACAGTTGAAACTCTGTGTGTAACTTTACAGTTAGCCCTCTGAATCTATGGTTCTGTGTCCTCAAATTCAACCAACTTCAAATCATGTAGTAGTGTAGTATGTACTTAAGTGAAAAAATCCACGTATAAGTGGACCCATGCTGTTAAAATGCATGTTGTTCAAGTATCAACTGTACATCCTTTAGCATTTATTTTAGCAGTGGTCTATTGACTAGAAATTCTATGAGTTTTTCCTCTGTAGAAATGTTTTAATTTTATGCTACTTGTTGAAAGATCAGTTGTATATACAACTAAGTTAGAAATTATTTTCTTCAGAATTTTGAAGCATTTGTTCATTATTGAGAAGTCTTTAAATTGGCTACTCTTTTGTGGATGATCTGACTTTTCCTTCTGGATACTTTTACAAATCTTCTCTTTCTCTGGTGTAATAAAGCTTTTAGCTGTTAATTTTTTAAAAAATCTGGGAAAACTGGACTTCCTAAGGATTAATGTCCATTAACCAGTCTGCTCATTATTTCTTTGAATACTGCCTTCTACCCACTTGCTGTATTAATTCCTTTGGAAGCTCCAATTAAGCTTTTGCTAAACTTTCTCAGTAAATCCTCATACATCTCTTTATACTTTTCATCTTCTTTCTGTCCATTCTACATAATGAAGATTATTTTTCAATTTCTCTTCCAGTTCACCAATTCTTTCATTAGCTGTATATAGTCTCAGATTGCATCTTTTTAACATATTTTGAGCAACAAATTATTTCTTGAGATTTTAGTTTAGTTTTGAATTAGCTGCATAGTTCTATAATGTCTTTGGTCATTGTCCATATTTTAAAACCATCATTTAATTTGTTAATTGGAGTATAAGTGACCTACAACACTATGTTAGTTCCAGATGTGCAACATAGTGATTTGATATTTCTATACACTACAAAATAATCACCACAATAAGTCTAGTTATCATGTTACCATACAAAGTTATTACAATATTATTGACTATATTTCCTGTGCTGTACATTTTGTATTTCCCTTTTTTCCTTTTTCTTGTCTGATTATTGTGGCTAGTATTTCCAGTACTCTGTTGAATAAAAATGGTGAATGTGGGCATCTTTGTTTTGTTCCTGATCTTTGAGGAAATGCTTTCATCTTTTCACTGTTGAGTGTGCTGTTAGCTGGGGGCTTGTCATAGATAGCCTTTATTATTTTGAGATGGGTTCTCTCTATACCCATTTTAAGAGGTTTTTTTTTTTACTGTAAGTAAATATTAAATTTTGTCAAAAGCTTTTTCTGCATCTATTGAGAAGATATGATTTTTATTCTTCATTATATTAATATGGTGTATCACATCGATTGATTTGCAGATATTGAACCATCATTGCATCCCTGGAATAAATCTCACTCGTTCAAGTCTTTTATGTATTGTTGAAATTAGTTTGCTAATACTTTGCTGAGAACTTTTACATTTATGTTCATTGGTTATATTTACTGTAATTTTCTTTTTTTGTTTTCAAATAGGGGTATTGCTGGCTTCACAGAATACATTCAGAAGCACGCCTTCCTCTGCAATATTTTTGGAATAATTTGAGAATATGTGTTAACTCCTTTTTAGATGTTTAGTAGAATTCATTTGTGAAGCTTTCTTGTTCTGGACTTTTTTTGTTTGTTGGGAGTTTTAAAATTATTGATTAAATTCTATTACTGGTAATTGGTCTCTCCATATTTTCTGTTTTTTCCTGATTATGTCTTGGGAGACTGTACATTGCTAGGAATTTATCCATTTCTTCTAGGTTGTCTGTTTTATTGGTGTATTATTGTGGTAATCATCTCTTACGATGCTTTGTATTTCTTTGGTCTCAGTTGTAGCTTTTCTTTCATTTCTTATTTTATTTAGACTCTCTCTCCTTCTTTCTTTATGAGTCTGGCTAAAGGTTTACCAATTTTGTTTATCTTTTCAAAGAAACAGCCCTGCTTCAATTCTCTTTTATTGTTTATTTTAGTGTCTATTTCATTTATTTCTGCCCTGATTTTTATGATTTCTTGCATTCCATTAACTTTGGAATTTTTTGTTTTTTCTTTATAGTTCCTTTAGGTGTAAGTTTAGGTTTACTTGAGATTTTTCTTGTTTCCTGAGGTAGGCTGGAAACTATATATTTTCCTCTCAGAACTCTTTTGCTCCATGTCAGATTTTGGATTGCTGTATTTCCATGTTCATTTGTCTTTAGGTATTGTTTGATTTCCTCTTCGATTTCTTCAGTGACACTTTGGTTGTTTAGTAGCATATTGTTTAGTCTCTGTGTGTGTTTTTTGCATTTTTTCTTATTCTTGATTTCTAGGCAAATACCACTTTTGTCAGAAAAGATACTTGATATAATTTCGATCTTTTAAAATGTATTGACATTTGTTTTGTTGCCTAGCACGTGACATGCCCTAGACAATGTTCCATGTACACTTGAAAAAAATGTGTATTCTGTTGTTTTTAGATGAAATGTTCTATACATTTGTATTAATTCCATGCAACATGTCATTTAAGACCAGTGTTTACTTATTGATTTTGTTTTGAGTCTCAATCGTATTCCTTATTTCCTTGTGTATTTTAACTATAAAATGCTTATTTTTCTTGGAACTTTGTTTGTGGATATTTTTTTGAGGTCTGGATCAAAGGCTGTTCCTGAGGAGAAAAGTTGCATATGCTTTAGATGTATTCCTGGACTCTCCGCTCTCCCAGGACAGCTAGCTTACATTTCCACTAGAGGTTACCTGAATTACAAATAAAGCATGAATTTGGATAGAAAGGTATCATAGCATTTTTTATATACAAATTCTCAGGTGAGAATGCTGATTTCAAGACTGGCATGTTTCTTTTCTGTTCTCATTTGTATGCCAAGTTTATTATTTATTAACTTTGCACTAAGGGAGTAACACTTTGCAATCATGGCCTTTTTGGCTCTCCCATGAAACTTCATCCTTCAACAAGTTCTAGGCTTATATTCTATTTCTACTACCCTCTATAGGCCTCAAAGTAGAAGCTCAAAGTTTCTATGGTTTGGTGAAGACGGTAAGGACAAAGATAACTTTGGTGCTCATTGACCTTCTTGGATTTCTGCTTTCTTTCTCTTACTAGTAACGTAAGCTTAGTAATGTGTTTCCAAAGTTTTTTTGTTGTTGTTGTTTTCATTGGGTCATTTGCAGTATCATCTGCTGTACTCCTAGAAATGAATTTTTCTAGCCTCTGTGTGTCAGCATTATAAAGGGAGTGAAGGAAATGTAAATCTCTTAGTGATACCCATTTATGGTTTATCCTTTCCTCTAGTCTACCCTCTCACACACAATGCCAGATCACGTCTGTGAAGGGAGGTTCAGAGTGATTCTTTTCAGTTGGTGAGTGGAATGTAAAACTTCAGTGGCTAAGGACTTGGTTAAAACAATTTATGATTGCTTCCAGCTTTCAAAAATCCTTCTTCCTCTGTGATCTCTAGGCAGAATTCATGTGCCTGAGGTTTAGTAATCATTGAATAAATAAGTGAAAGAATGATCAATTACTTTTTAAAAAAAAGTAGGTTTAAAATATCAGAAAGTATACACTTAACAGGTTGCAAAAGAAGCTCAGATTTTATAAATATAATTATGTATATACATATAATTATGTGTATACATTTTGCTATGAGGCTGTGGTTGGCATCACTGGAACAAAGAAATATTTCAATAGTTCATATAACTGTAGTTAAAATCTTAGTGATCAAATTTCTTTTCAAACTTTTCCCATATTCTCATTCTCATTTTTCTTTCCAAAAGTATTTTTCCTAAGTGGGATTATCATAGAAGCCTCTTGATTGGCTACCAATGTAGCAGGGCTCCATTTTTAACAGTAGACAATATTGTCAAAAACGGCTCAGTGCTTTAACAGCCTCCCTCTTACCAATGGGAGGCCCTTGTCTTTACCTTCCAGTGCCATTGGGAGATATTTTAGACTCCTACTCAAATCTCCACTTTGAAACTGCTTGGTCTCTCTTGACATCCCTTTATTCGTATAGCCTGGAAACTGGCCTTGCCTCTCTGTCTAGCCCTTTTGAGAAATACTGTATTTGATCTGTGGGTCTTTTTGGTCCCCTATGTTCCATCATCTCTGGATGTTACTTTTGGGTCCCTCTTGGCTCCAGGTTCTGAAAGCTGGATCAGCCTTTACTCCAGGCTTGGCACTGGCCCCCAGATCCCAAGACAGAACATGCCCACCTCCTTCTCCATAGGTTCTGGATGATTCAGGAAGGCAGACAGGATAGTTTGCGAAGGTGAACACATTTGATTCATCCACTTCTCTTGTTCTTATTCCTGGCTCTTCTTCCATGAGCAGCAACTTCCCCAGGGATGTGCTGAGAAATTCCAAAATCTCAGAGCTGAGTTCCTTCAACTTCACTACTGATAAAAGTTTAATGATTCAACCAGATTGAGAGACCCTGTTCTTCAGGATTAAATAAACAGAGGATTATCTTCTTTTCTTTGCTCTCTCCCCTTTCTTAAGCTTGAACCCTTCTAGGACATTTTATCTTCTTGTATAAATATCTGAAGATATTTTAAAAGTTGAGCTTCCTATCAACTCTGTGATAGAGATGCTTTCTTCTATTCATTAATTCATCAGTGTGGCTGAAACATGGCCAGCAAGAGGGAAGAGTGGTAGGAATTCAGGTGATAAGGTGGCAGGGGATCGGATAGCATGGAGCCCAGAGGCTGGTGAGACCTAGCCCCCTTTGTTTCATAGGACTTATATAACTCTGGCATATCAATGACAGAAAATCTGCATACTCCTAGAACATTTCAACCTCATTGTACCAATCTGGATCATCCAGGAGATTGGAAATACAAA